ATGGGTCTTCCTTGTAGGCGTATGGATATTATCCTATCTCTGACAGCATTGTACTTCAGGACAGATCTTGAAACATCCTTTGTGATGATGAATGTCACACCATTCCTCTTTAAACTGTCATTCCCGGCATAGTAGATCATATGGTTGTCTGATACAAAATGGCCAAAACCAGTCCATTTTAGCTCACTAATGCCAAGGATATTAATCTTTATGCGTTCTATTTCATTTTTGACAACTTCCAATTTTCCTAGATTCATACTTCATACATTCCATGTTCCGATGATTAATGAATGTCTGCAGTTGTTTCTCTTCAATTTGAGTGGTGCCACAACAGCAAATGGAGGTCTCAAAAGCTTTACCTTATCCATATGAGTAAGGCTGGGTTTACTCAGATGGTGCAGCTCTTTCCCAGTCCTATTTTGAGAACCTTCTAACCTAACTGGACTATTCATAAAGTTGCGCAGTAATGTATCAAACAGTGTTTCTTTGCTATTCATAAGGTTTTCCCTGGCCAATTCTTTGAGAAGTGGACAGCCTCTTCCTTCTTCCTAGTCTGTCTCAGTCTGTAAGCTGGGCTGATACCTGTGCACCATGGGCATCCCACTGGGTTTGAAACACCAGTGGCTCAGCCTCAAAACTCACATCAACACGTCACCATGGTAGGACAAACGACAGACAAGTTTGCCTCCCTGTTTGAAACCTCTCGTACCACCCTTACCTGGGTCCCTGCAGCTTACTGCTCCTCTGTCTGGGTTCCTGGCTTTTAATCCCCTTTTTCCTGCTCTCCCTCACTGCTGCTTTGGGTGTGCCTAAGTTCCCTCTCCTCACCTGGATCCTTGTGGCTGACTGCTCCTCTGTCAGGGTTCCTGGCTTTTAATTCCCTTTCTCCCGCTCTCCTGCCCTGCTGCTTTGGGCGTGCTTGGGTTCTCTCTCCTGACCTGGACCCCTGTGGCTGTAGTCTTGCATATAAACTATTAAAAAAAGTGGTAATGGTCTCCTTCATTCCTAGCTTATCTGGGTCACAATACGATGGCCTAAATTTTCTGCTACCTTGGAGATTTCAGTAGTCAGATCTTTGGGGCAGGGAGCAGGGAAAGCTACTACCCAGCTCTCCTTAAGTGGAAAGTGGATGAGAATGAGAGAGAACTAGTTGCTTCTGGGTAGAGCTGCTCCTTTCTGGGTTGTCCTAGACCTAGCATCTTTGTTACATAACTAACACATGTACTTTTGAGGAGGATGAACTGTCAATATTTCTAGAGTCAAGAACTAACAAAGTTGCATATGATTTGCTTGCATGAAAATAATACTAAACCAAAAAAAGACCAAACACACTGCTGTCGAGTCATATGTGACTCATAGCTTCCCCTCCTTGGGTTTCCAAGATGGTATCACTATGGAAGTAGAATGCCTAATCTTCCTTCCAAGGACTGGCTGGTGGGTTTGAACCACCAGCCTTCTGGTTAGCAGTCAAATGCCTTAGGCACTACGGTCATATGTATTACTTAATTAGTAGTATTATGAATTACTTAATGATTATGCCTGGTAATGATTGTGTATATTGCTCAGAATTTCTATTATAAGTAATTTCATATGTACATAGTATATGCTCATAGAGTAAAATAAGATTGCTTTCTTAAGACTTATTCTACATGAAAAGCAGTTGCATTTGTTCACATCAATTGACTCAGCATTCATAATTTTATACTGTGTTATTATCTGCTCATGCTTTTAAAAATCAGACCTTCACATCAGAATGTTTACTCACTCCATCAATTGGCCTGTGAGCAAGCATATATTTAGTCAGTATATCCCTAGAGTAAACATTCTGAGCAGTGCGCTCAGTTGGTCACATTGTTTAGGAAAAGCAGTTCTTTTGTGGAAGTCCAAAACAAGTTGAGGTGAGATGGGAGAGAGTTCATTACCCTGTGGATCCTGGAAGTTCTATGTAGTGCACTGAAGCAAAGGAAGCATCAAATGACATAATAAAACCTGAGCTGACATGCTCTCAAGTTTGACCCAGTACATACATACTCTCAAGAGCTTAGACATATAAATAAGTCCAATGTGAAGTTCTACGTGTTATATAACTAGTTTGCAGCATAGTTCGTCTGGTCTCAAACAGTCTACTGTCAGTTAAAATATTATTCACAGGCACTGAGTCTAATGTCTATCCCTTAGCTGATGGTACCCAAAACCAGAAAGGGAGAATGAGTCTGTGCAACGTGGGTAGCTCCCAACAAAGATTAAATAAGACAGTATGTGTGAAAGATTTTTGAAAACTGCCAATCAGTTATACAAATATAAAGTAAGGTATTGATTATTTAAAAAATAAATATAAGGACATCTGATAAGAGTATACATCACTGTAAAGGTAGGCACACCAACATCACTGGCATGTCACAGAGAGATTCATGCTCTCCTTCTGGTCCAAAGAACTACCTAATGAATTCCTAGATAGATTCTCAGGGCATCAATCCAAGTAAATCATATTCTGGATGTTATTCTGACCATTATATGCTCCTGTGGCAAAGATAAATCCACTTTCATCGACAGATGCAGCAGTCAGTTCAACATTGAAGCCATGGGGGTCTAAAATCTGGTACATCTGGAGACCAGTCTCTAGTTCCCATACCTGTAGGAAAGAACAACAACAACAAAAAAAATCAAGTAATCCATTTGTCCTTCAATTCTGATAAAAGCTTTACAGTGCTCAGAACTGCCTCAAAATTCTTCCCAAGAACATCTCACCTCTTTTCCCATACTCTGCCCTGTATGTTGATTTAATCAAAGAAAGTTCTAAGAGATGCCATGCTGTGCTACCCTGGATGTCCTGCTGCATATGTGGGTAACTAAGATTGGCAGTGACTATTGCAGGCAGCCCTTAGTTGTAGAGAAAGTCGTAAATTTCTAGGTAACCAAGAAGCAAGATCAGCAACAAAATAGAAATGTAATAATTAAAAGTTACATTAAAACAACTAATCTTGTTGACACTCATCCAGGTTACCAGTGGCTAAGACAATTTGTAGCTGACAGTATAGAATCTAAGAGAATTTACTAGGGAAAATAGAGTTCCCTGACTTTTTCAAAGGAGCCCCGGTGGCACAATTAAATGCATGGTTGTAAGCACACAGCTGTAAACTGAAAGGTCAGTGGTTTGAAACCACCAGCCACTCAGCAGAAGAAAGATGTGGCAGTCTGCTCCTGTAAAGGTTACAGCCTTGGAAACCCTTTGGGTCAATTCCACTCTGTCCTATAGGGTCACTGTGAATCAGAATTGACTCAATGGCAGTGGGTTTGGTTTGGGTTTGTGACCTTTTCAAGGAGTGTTTTAATTAGGGAAATGGGCCCAGCACTTTACAGAGAGAGAACAAGATTTCAGAGGAGGCCATATGTGAAATTAGAAAACCCAGAAATATGTTAAGACTCATCATTGCCTGTCTTTGGAAATACACTACAGGCTTTCCATCTGAATGTCTCATGGATCTCTTCATGGGTCTGCCATGTTCTTGTGGTGAATAATAGAATTGAACTGGCAATGCAGTATGATTAAACACAAGGTATTTGGAGGAGGTGGTGAAGCATATGCAAAGGGCAAGAGGTAGAAAAGCACATTGTTCATTCAGAGACTGAAATAAAGCTGTTATAGCTGGAGTGAAAGATGAAGAGTTCAACGAGATATGGTTAATGGAATAATCTGGACCCAGATAGTGAAGGGCCAACACATGGCTGGGATATGGTAGAACCTGAGTTTAAATGAAGTCAGTCTGACCCTAGAGTCAATACTCTTTAACATTTGTGTGTCCTTCAATACAGATGAGATCTTTAAGAGAGAGAAGGGATGTGAGTCACTGGAACCTGAGAGAATTTACTAGCAAAAATAGGGTCCCCTGACTTTTTCAAGTCAGGGATAGGTCCATTGGTCACTCATCTCCTGCCCTGAAGTACAACCCCTCTCCACCAGTCAGATACAGAAATTTACTTAGTGTATTCCTTTGTTTTTTATTTTTCCCCAGGGAAGACATTTTCCTCTTAAGAGGATAGTATTACCTGAAAGCAGGACAGGTTTTTAGCTTCTTTCTGTAGACATTACCAGAAATAGGTGCTAATTAACTGAACTCAGATTTTGGCCTGAAAAAATCGCCAGCAGATGAACAAAGAAGGTGAAAGATTGAGAGAAGATTTGAAGGGCTCCAGAAGAATACTTTGTACTGTATCAATGTCTCTTTTTAAGAGCATGCATGAACTAAAAGGATAAGCATTTAAAGCAAGCCCTCCAGCCCTCACTACCAGATGACTTTAATAGTCATGGTTGTAGACGCAGTTAACAAGTACTTTGTCATGCAGGGAATATAGTGATGACAAGACTAGGGGAATGCAGTGGAAAGGCGAAAGACATCAGATGAAGTTGGGTTGGTGTCCTAGCCCTGACACCTTCTACTGATGTGATCTGGGACAAGTTGCTTGTCTCTTTGAGCTCTAGTTTCCTCATCTTTAAAATCTTTATACTGTCCTCAGAGAACTGTTGTGAGTATTAAATGAGATATTGGATTTAAAGCACTTGACTGACACTTACTCAGTACATATAGGGTTATGGAGACCCTAGGTGGTGTAAATACTAAGGCACTTGGCTGCTAACTGAAAGGTTGGAGGTTCGTGTCCACCAGAGGCACCTTGAAAGAAAAGCCTGGGGATCTACTTCTAAAAAATCAGTCAGTGAAAATCTTATGGAGCACAGTTCTACTCTGACACACATGGATTCGCCATGAGTCAGAATTGACTTGATGACAGCTATTTATTTTTTAACATGAGTTATAGAAATTAGCATAGTGGCTAAGGCAGTTGACTGCTAACCAGAAGGCTGGCGGTTCAAACCCACCAGCCACTCCTCAGAAGGAAGATGGGGCAATCTACTTCCGTAGTGATACTGCCTCGGAAACCCAAGGAGGGGTTGCTATGAGTCGGGTCCGACTCGACAGCACATAACAACAACAACAACAACATAGAAATTTCTACATTTTTCCCTTTTTAAATTTCACATTTTATAACATTAAAAAAAATAACATTAGTAACAGAGCAGTAGGTTGTTGGATAAAAGTGAAAATTTAAACTGGAGCTTATGAATGAGGGTTTCAGGTTTACATTAGTTGTGGCATACAATTTATTTCTATATTTTGTTTGTTGCTTAGATTTATAAGTAGCTATAAACAATACTAGTTTTTCTTCATTTTATACTGGCCTTTCAATCTCAGAACATTCTTTAATTGAATAGATTCTATTGTTTGAAAAGAGGGACTCACTTTTTCTTAATATCTTTTTCTCATAGTCCATTAAAAAATTTCAAAATCTATGCTAATTTTCTCTCGATATATTTCCTTTAACATTCTTATATTGATAATAAAAAGTTGCTTTATTTATTTAATTGAGCCTGTTGCTAAATGGACAGAGCTGAATAGAAATGCTTATTTTTCCTATTTTCATGAAAGCTTAACAATGGCTTTACTGTAGAATCATATCACATGTGCTACTATATTGATTTGATCCCTGTAAGAAGAGAAAATGTTACTTGTTTTGCCGTTTTCTTTCTGAAGATCTAAGATGTACTCACCTTAATTACAGATTCTGAGCAGATAGTGAGTACTTGGCGAAAAGTTTTATTGTAAAGCATGACATTGATTTCTCGTTCATGAGTGTGAGGAATCTGTTTTGTATCTTGAATCATTCGAGTCAAAGGATACAAGTCTATAACACTAGATCCTAGAACAGAAATAAGTATCTCATCAATATCTGATATTAGACATTTTGAATCACAAAGAATTTTACTCCATCAGTTAGTTTGGATAGAGATAGTCAAACAGTGAGATTAATAATTCAATATCTAGGAAATTTAATGAAGAAAAAATACATTAATTCACTGGGAGGAGCACAAGAGTTAAAGGCAACCACCACCATATAAATACATTCAATTACTCTAAAGCATTTTTGACAAATAGAGCAAGTATGATTCAACCAGAAAAAACTGTTCACTTGGG